CACCTCCCCGGGCAGCCCCTTCCAACGCCTGACCCCTCCATCCGTGGAGAAATTCCTCCCGGTGTCCGACAGCCATGGCACACGGACTCCTCACAGTGCTGTTCCTATCACAGGGGGCATGTGAGGGGTTTGGAGCACAGGCAGGAGCTGCAGATCAGAGCTCCTTCCTTGGACACCTCCAGGGGTGGGGACTCCTCCATCTCCCTGGGCAGCCCCTTCCAGTGCCTGACCACCCTTTCCATGGAGAAATTCCTCCTTTTGTCCCACCTGACCCTCCCCTGGCACAGCCTGAGGCCATTCCCTCTCCTCCTGTCCCTCGTTCCCTGGGAGCAGAGCCCGACCCCCCCCGGCTCCCCCCTCCTGTCAAGGGGTTGCAGAGCCAGAAGGTCCCCCCTGAGCCTCCTTTTCTCCAGGCTGAGCCCCCCCAGCTCCCTCAGCTCTCCTGCTGCTCCAGCCCCTTCCCAGCTCCCTCAGCTGCTCCTCACAGGACTGAGAATGGTTTGGGCTGGGAAGGACCTTAAAGCTCATCCCACCCCCTGCCATGAGCAGGGACACCTTCCACTAGTCCAGGTTGCTCCAACCTGGCCTTGGACATTCCCAGGGACGGGGCAGCCGCGGCCTCTCTGGGTGGCAAACACCGTGCAGGTGTATGAGGGGTGAGAAAGGAGGACACAGGATGCTTTCTGTCTCATTATTCAGCTGTTTTCTGTTCAGCAGCACCGACAGGTGAGGCAGGACCCCCAGCCAGGGGGGTGCTCTGCTGATGAGGGGCTCTGGCTGCTGGCGTCGTGCTCAGACCCTTCCCCACCCTTCCCGCTGTCACTCCTGGTGTCCCCATCCAGGGAGGCTCAGGTGGGGCTGTACAAACCCCTCAGCAAAGCCACAGTTCACTCTGATCACAGACCTCTGTGCACACAGTGCAGCCAGGATAATCCATGGCTCAAGCACTGCTGAAATTGGGTGTTTGCGGCTTTTTTTTTTCCAACCATCTTGAGTTTGTGGTCAAGAAATATGCAACACTGTGAACAACAGTCTTCCCTGGTGGACTTCAAGCCAAGTAAAATACACAACTGGGCCAGATGTCTTAAATTTTCCAGCTATAAATTTCAGCAGCTCCCCAGCTGTCCGCAGTAAATCCAAGGGAAGGGTCTCCCTTAGGATCTGGTGTTTAAACCTGGGGAAATAACGACTCTTAAAAAAATACAGGCCTAAAGAAAGGATAATGTACTTCAAGGATGCTGCGGGAGGGAAAAGAGATGGAAACTGAGAGTTACTCAGACAATTTTATTTATATCCCCATTCCCCGGTAATGGAGTTCTGTAGCTCAATTCCTTGTGCAAGGAACTTCTCCTTCAGGTTTCCCACTTCATGCAGGAAGGAATTATATTTTGTTCCATAATAATAATAATAAAAGCTGTCCACAAAAGCTGTAAACATTATTTTGAGTCTTTTGTTATCCTCTCTTTCAAACACACACACACACACAATATTTATATCAAAGAATTTCTGGGTGACCTTTGACGTCCAGTCCCTGACTCAGTCTCACACTTTTTTTCTTTTTATTTTTTCCTTTTTTTTAAGCAAAAATCCCTTGATGTGAATGTTTTTTGTGACTGATACCTGACAGAGTCATCGCATTTCAGCCCCTTGCTTAGAAAATTCCTGAAACACGCCCTGTTATAACCCTGCAGGGATGTCAAAGCTTGGTGAGGGGGCAGTTCTTGGTCTCCTGGAGCTGCACAGACTCTCTGCAGCACCTCAAGGTGTGTTTGAACCCCTGCACAGAGAACCCCGACCATCCCACGGCGCTGGGCAGGCGCAGCAGGAATGCTGGGGTGTGGTTTTCCCCACCATGGAGCAGGAGCTGAATGGAACACTGCAGTCTGTTCATTCCTGCCCCAAACACCCAGAATCCCCTCGGCCCGCTCGGCTTCGTGAGCGTCGGGGTGAGCAGGTCCTGGTTTATCATTAAGACTCTTCCAAGTAATGCTTTCTTTGGCTCACAAATAAATCAAGGATAGCAGTAAAACCAGAGAGGAAAATAAATCTTCTGATGGATGGCAGAGAGAGCAGATTCTCCCAGCTCTTTGCTTTTCACGCTTCAGCTCAGTAATGGCATGTGGAGTTTTCAGCACTTCCCGAGCAATCCACGCTCGTTCCACGCCGGGCATGGGGTGTCCAGCACCCGGGGGGTCCCACCCAGCTGACCCCAGGCGGTATTTGCAGGGCTATCGGTCACTAGGAAATCCAGGCTGTTGCACAGAGATTCTCATTTTCCTTCTGAGAGGCTCTGAAGGATTTTGATGAGATTCTCCAGGCCAAAAATGTAGCCGTGGTCCGGCCCGTCGTAGGGGGTGGGGCTGCTCTTGGAGCCTTTGAAGGTGGTGTGGGCAAAGTCAATCATCCGCACGTCCACCCTGGCGGGGTTCGCGCCGTGGGTTTTCGGGAGGGGAAGGTGATGATCCAAGGGCGCCGCGCTCTCCTTGGGCTCCTGCCCGTCGTAGATGATGAGGAGGGAGCTGGAGTAGAACCTGTAGGAGCTTTGCTTCCTGATGACGGAGAGCAGGGCCTTGAGCCGCAGGACGATGGGCTCCAGCAGGTCCGTGCGCAGCTGGTTCCCGGTGCACAGGAACTGGCGCAGGGTTTGCCGGAACCCCTCCGGGGACAGCTTCCTGCCAAAATACTTGTCCTTGCACAGGAAATGGCCAGTGTCCGCCTGGTAAACCTGCAGGGGGGAGAGCGGGAATCCACGGAGTCAGGGACTGGAGTCCTGAGCTGGAGGGGACCCGCTGGGATCACTGAAGTGCAGCTCTGCTCACAGAAAGGTGTCGGACACCACAAAGGGACATGGGGTTTGACACTGTTTGGGCTGCTCTGTATGTGCCCATAATCATCACTCTCATTATTATCCTTCAGGCAGGGTTTTGAACCTTTTGGAACCTGCTCGAGCAGAGTGAGAGAAGGAAATGCGTGGTTTGGGTTTCTAGGAGAGAGGGGGGGATTTCAAGCAGGAGAAACCATCACACTGAGCCCAAAATGAGCCCCTGGCCCTCGCAGCACCAGGACGAGGTGGCTCAGTGAAGGCACGAGCAGGGCAATGTGGTGCTTTTTGGGGTTTTTTTTGTGCAGCAGCCAAGAGCTGAGCAGGAGGTGGGAATCTGTGTCCATGTACAGGTGAGTTCTCAGCTGGGGTAAACTGGTTCCAGCTGCTCACACTGGTGGCAGTGGTATGGGGAAAGAGTTACCCTAATGTGCTGC